ATCATTGTTATATTTTCTGTTTTTATGGTACCTAGATATGGACTTTAAAACGACTACTTAAGCATACTGTTTTTCAATCAGGATATTCAATCAAGTGATTGGATCAGTAATCAAAAACTTCTCAACAAAGAAAAGTCAGGTTCAGATGGCTTCACTGGTGAATTCTACCAAACAAAGAAGAATTAACATCAATGATTTCCCAGCTCTTCCAGAAAACTTAAGAGAAGGGAACACTTCCTAGCTTATTCTATAAGGCCGGTATTACCCTGACATAAAAGCCAGCCAAACACACCACAAGAAAACTACAAATCTTTGACATAATTCTAGCAAACTGAATACAACAGCATACTAAAAGAATTATACAACATCTCCCAGAAGGATTTAGTCCACAAATGCAAGGTTCGTTCAACATACAATAATCAATCTATCTAATACACCATATCAATTAAAGGACAAAAACCACTCTATTGTATTGGATTCAGAGAAAGTATCTAACAAAATCCAATAAGCTTTTATGATAAAAATATGGAAAAACAGGAATGGAAAACAATTTCCTCAGCATGATAAAGTACTCTATGGAAATTTCACACCCAACATCATTCTTAGTGGCAAAAGACTGAACACATTCTTATTACTCAGGGTCAGGAATAAGAAAGGATGCTGAATCTCACTACTTCTACTAATATTCAACTGGAGATTCTAACAAAGACAATTAGAAAAGACAAAGACACAGAAGACACTCAGACTGGGAAATAAGAAGTAAAACTGTATTATAGATGACATGATCTTGTATACAGAAGTCTTAAGGAACCTACTAGAAAACTCTCAGAAGTGATAAATGACTACATCAAGGTGTCACAAATTATATTATTATACAAATTAATATATACAAAAAAACAATTATATTTTTATATACTAGCCATGAAGAAAATAACAATGAAGTTTTAAGAATACCATGTATAACAGTATCTAAAATAATAAAACACTTAGGAAAAAATTAAGTATAAAAAAGTATTTCAGAGTTTAAATATAAAACTTATACTTCTCATGACATCATTGAGAGAAATTCAAGAAAGCCAAAATAAATGGAAATCCATTCCGTGTTCATGGATTAGAAGATTTACTATTGTTAAACAGCAGTGCTCCCCACATTTATCTACAGATTCAACAAATCCCTATCATTAATCCCACTGCCTTTGTTGCAGAAATTGATGAGTTGACCCTAATTCAAATGGAAATACAAGAGACTTACAGTAGTCAAAACAATTTTGAAAATGAACAGCAAAGTTGGAAGACTCACACTTCCCAATATGAAAACATAATAGAAATCCATTGTAAGCGATAGAGTATGGTACTGGCATTAGGATAGCATATAGATCAATGGAATAAAGTTGAAAGTCCAGAAATAATCTTTACATTTATGGTCAATTGATGTTGATTACTGGCAAGGGTATTAAGGTCATTCAATAGGTGAAAAAATTGTCTTTTCAATAAGTGGTTCTGAAGCCACTACATATTCACATGCAAAAGAATTAAGTTGGACTTTGCCCTACACCATATACAAAAATTAACTCAAAATAGATTTCAATCTGAAACGTAAGAGCTAAAAACTCTAAGACTCCTTGAAGAAACATGGGTATAAACACTGTGATCTTGAATGAAGCAACAGTTTCCTAGACATATAGGTAAAAGCAAAAGCTACAGAAAATAGAAAAGTTAGATTTCCTCAAAAAAAAAAAAATATCTAAGAAGACATGCTTAAGAAAATGAAAAGACATCCCACAGAAAGGGAGAAAATAATTTTCAATCATATCAGATAAGGTACTTTTACACAGAATATATAGAGAATTCTTACCACTCAGTAATAAGAAAGAAATATAATCAAATTGAAGAATGGCAACAGATCTGAATAAACATGTTTGAAAGAAGCTATGGCCAATAAGTGCATGAGAAACATGATCAACATCATTAGTAATTTAAAAAGTACAAATACACCGTAGAATGGCTATATTTAAAAAGACAGACAATTTAGGCTGGGCGTGGTGGCTTATGCCTGTAATCCCAGCACTTTGGGGGGCTGAGGTGGGCGGATCAGGAGCTCAGGAGATTGAGACCATCCTGGCCAACATGGTGAAAATCCATCTCCACTAAAAATACAAAAAAAAATTATCTGGGCATGGTGGCACATGCCTGTAGTCCCAGCTGCTCGGGAGGCTGAGGCAGGAGCATTGCTTGAATCTGGGAGGTGGGATTTGCAGTGAGCCAAGATTGCGCCACTGCACTCCAGCCTGGCAACAGAGCAAGAATCCGTCTCAAAAACAAAGCAGACAGACAATTTAAAACAATGGGGCGCTGTGAAGAAATGCGAATTAATGCACATTGCTGTTGAAAAACGGCATAACAGTTTTGAAAAAGTTTGACAGTTTCTCAAATTTTAAACACAAATTTACCATAAAAACTATCAATTTTACTCATTGGTGTATGTTCCAGAGAGTTAAAAACATACCTCCATGCAAAAACTCATCCTGAATGTTCATAGCATTTTTAACTTTATAACCCAAATGTCCATCATTAGATTGGAAATAACTCATGTGTTCATCTTTTCATTAAAGCAGAAACAAAATTATACGTTCATACAGCCATAAAAGAATAAAGTATTGATACATTCACCATCATGAATGAACTCTGACAACTTTAGACTAAGAGAAAGAAGACAGGCTCAAAAGGCCACAGATAATTGTACTTCTATTCTTATAAAATACCCATAACGGCAAATTCATAGGGTCAGAATGTACATTAGTATTTCCCAGGGGTGGGAGAAGGGATGAATGTGGATGATTGCTAATATGTATGGGGTTTCTTCTGGGATGGCGAGACATTCTGAAATTAGATAGCGGTGGTAGTTGCATAAATTCTTTGTGAATATACTAAAAAACCGCTGAACTGTATAATTTCATAGGGCAAATTTTATGATATGTGAATTACATCTCAATTTTTAAAAAGTCACTTGACTCCTTAAAGCTAATTATGACATAACAACAAATAATGGCAGTGTATTTCCATTTTAAATTATATTTAAACTTTAATTTAAATTTAATTTAAATTTTAATTCCCATTAAAAATTATATATTGTCAGATTGAACAAAAAATGAGATCTAATTATCTGCAATTTACATGAAATCCATTTTAAATAAGAAAACCCATATAGGCTAGAAGTGAAAGGATATAAACTTATACCATGCAAACAGCAATTAAAAGAAAGGACCAGGCAACTTAGAACAAGGAATATTGCCAAGGATAAAGAGGTACATTTACCAATGATAAAAGGATTAATACATCAAGAAGACAAAAAATAAGAATATGTATGCCCCTATTACAGAGCATCAAAATGCATAAAGCAGAAATAAAAGGAGAAATAGGGAAAGCCACAGTTAAGGTTAGAGATTTTAACATTACCTTTTAGTAATCAACAGAACAAGTTTTCAAAAACTCGGTAAGGATATGAGAGACTTGTAAAACACTATAGACTATTTGAGGCTTATTGAGATTTACAGAAGGCTGTAATAAGCAACTGGAGAATTCACATTTTTTTCTAGTTCACATGTAACAATGACAGATCCTATTATAAGCCATAAAGTATTATTTGATATAAATATAAACAAACAAATCACTCAGAGTACATATTCTGATCTTAATAAATTAAAAATCATAGTAGATGTTTTGGAGAATCCCCAAATATGTTGAAATAGTTCACAGAACAAAGAAAATATCACCACAGGAAACATTTGGAATCGAATGACAATAAAGATACAACATACCAAAACATTGTGAATTGCAACTAAAGTTCAGCTTAGGAGGGACCGTATAGCTTGAGATATATACTAGGAAAACAGGACGATCTAGAATCAGCCATCTAAGTGTCCATTTTAAGAAGCTGGAAATAAAAGGGCAAATTAACTCAAAGATGGCAAAGGGGAAGCAAATAAGCATAAGAGCAGAAATCAATGAAGCATAAAAATATAAATAGTTATGAACTCAGTGCTACTGCTTTGAAATATTTTTTAAAACAGAAAAAACCTCTAATTAGGCTGAAAAGAAAGAAGAATAAGTGAGCAAGGGAGGAAAAGAGAGAGACACAAATTATTAATATTGAGAAAATATAAAGAAATCACAACAAACAATATGGAAATCAACAGCAAATTAAGAAAATAAAGAATTTCATGCCAAAAATTTGACAACTTAGAAAAAAAGGACAATTTTTTTTAAAAAATTCAAAATTGTCCAGACTCAGGAAGAAATTGAAAACCTGAATTGTTCCATATTCATTACAAAAATTGTGTTTTAATTAAATACCTTCCCACCAGGAGAACTATATTTCTAGATAGTATTATTGGCAAATCTATAAAACATTTAAGGAAGAAACCATACCTAGTCTACATGTTGACTTTCAAAAAAAATAGAGAAAAAGGGATCACTTTTCCAGTGATTTTGTGAGGCCAACATTATCATAACAGCAAAGTCAACAACATTATCAGGAAAGAAAACTACAGATTAATATTCCCAGGGAATGTGGGTTAAAATTCTTAGCAAAATATTAAATCTAGCAATATAGAAAGATAATAATAACTCAAAACCCAATGGTGTTTATTTCCAGATTGCAGGATGCTTCAAATTTGAAAATCTGTCAGTATAATTCACCACAGAATAAACAAACAAACAAAAATCCTATTATTATCTCAATAGATGTAGAAAAGTGTTGGACAAAATTCAACATGCAGGCAGAGGCAGGCAAGTTCTGGAACATGTATTGCATTACTGAGTTGTTCTCCCTTGAGGAAAGAGGCTATAGATGCATCCTATCAGGAAAAGACAAAGGGGCAGTTCCCTGGAGAAGTTAGAGCAGCAAGACCAGGTGGGTGATGGGGGCCCCAGGCCAATAAAGACCATCTGTAGTGGTACCACAGTATCTAGTGTACTTCAGTAGAAACCTTCAACCGTAGATGAAGGATATTTTAGGATTTTTTACACTCAATGATGGCAGCTTTTTTACACAAAGCAGATGCTTTATAGTTCTTACAGCCAAAAAGTCTACTTACGTTGGCTGCAGGCAAGAATTATCAATGCCGACTGTGGTCCCAGAGGAGAGCAGCCACCCCTCTGTTTCTAGCCCCACAAATTCTGCTGCTCCTCTCATTCCCCAGGAGGCAGTATGTCCAAGGAAGCCAGCTAGGAATTTGCTAACCATAGCTTCCTGGTTTCTCTTCTGCTCTTTTTGCTTCCTGATTTTGGTATTGCCAATACATGTTAGGAAAAAAACACTTTGGAGCTATTTAAAAAGATGAGGATTTCTATGTACTAATCTGGAAAGATCTCCCACATAATGTTAAATGAAAAAAGGAAAGGGCGAAATATGCGTATAGAATGATATGTTTTGTGTATAGAGGTGGCCCAAATAACACCTTTATAATATAATAGCATATTTTCATAAAAAATATGAAAGGGCTTTCCTATAAGAGGGTAGAGAAGATGATGTGAGGTGGAAGGAACGGAGGTGAGGGGGAGAATTTTTAATGCAAGCATATCTTGGAGATAATGTGAGTTGAATTCCAGACCATCACAATAAAGTAGCTATCAACTATTGTTTATCAAAAATAAAGTGAGTAACATAAACTTTTTCGGTTTCCCAATACATACAAATCTATGTTTACACTACACTGTAGGTAGTTTATTAAGTGTATAGTGGCATTATGTCTAAAATACAATGTGCATACCTAATTTTAAAATACTTTGTTTCTAAAAAGTGCTAACGATCATCTGAGCCTTCACTGTGTTATAATCTTTTTGCTGGTGGAGGCTCTTGCCTCAATGTTGATGGCTGCTGACTGATCAGCGTGGTGGTTGATGATGGCTGAGCTGGCTGTGGCAATTTCTTAAAATAAAACCCTTGAAGTTTGCCACATTGATTGACTCCTCTTTTTATGAAAGATGTCTCTATAGCATGCACTACTCTTTCATAGGATTTTACCCACAGTGGAACTTCTTTCAAAATTGAAGTCAGTCTTCTCAAACTATGGTGCTTGCTTTATCAACTAAGTTTATGGAATATTCCAAATTCTTTGTTGTCATTTTAAGAATGTTCATAAAATCATCACCATAAATAGATTTCATCTCAAGAAACTACTTTCTTTGCTCATCCATAAGAGACAACACTTCATCTGTTCAAGTTTGTTCATGAGATTGCAGCAATTCAGTCACCTCTTCAGGCTCCACTTGTAATTCTTGTTCTCTTGCTATTTCTACCCCATCTGCCGTTCCTTCCTCCACTGAAGTCTTGAACCCTTCAGAGCCATCCACGAGGGTTGGAATCAATTTTTTCCAAACTCCTGTCATGACGTTGATATTTTGACCTCCTCCTATGAGTCACTTAATTGTATCTAAAATGGTGAAATCTTTTCAGAAAGCTTTCCATTTACTTTGCCCAGATCCATAAGAGGAGTTGCTATTTATGGCAGCTGTAGCCTTAGAAACTGTATTTCTTAAATAATAAGACTTGAAAATTATAATGACTCTTTGATCCATGGGCTACAGAATGCATATATTGGCATGAAAACAACATTAATCTCCTTGTACATCTCCATAAGAGCTCTTAGGTGGGTGAGTAGGTGCATTGTCAATAAGCAGAAATATTTTGAAAGAAGTATTTTTTTCTAAGCAGTAGCTCTCAATGGGCTTAAAATATTCAGTAAATCATACTGTAAACAGATGTGCTATCATCCAGGCTTTGTTGTTCCACTGATCCAGCACGGGCAGAGCAGATTTAGCATCTTTCTTACAGGCCCTAGAATTTTCAGAATGGCAAATGGGCACTGGCTTCAATTTAAAGTCACCTGTTGCATTAGCCCCTAACCAGAGAGTCGGCTTGTCCTTTGAAGCTGCAAAGGCAGGCATTGACTTCTCTCTAGCTATGAAAGTCCAGTGACATCTTTTTCAAGCAGAGGAGTATTTCATCGACACTGACAGTCTGTTGCTTAGTGTAGCCACCTTCATTAATGATGACAGCTAAATCTTTGGCATAACTTGCTGCAGCTTCTCCATCAGCACTTGCCACTTCACCTTGCGCTTTTATGTTATCGAGATGGCTTATTTCCTCAAACCTCATCAACCAGCCTCTGCTGGCTTCTAAGTTTTGTTTTGCAGCTTTCTCGCCTCTCTCAGCCTTCACAGACTTGAAGAGAATTAGGGCCTTGCTCTGGATTAGGCTTTGCTTTAAGAAAATGTTGTGACTGGTTCCATCATCTATCCAGACCACTCAAACCTTTCTCATATCAGCAGTAAGACTGTATTGCTTTCTTATCATTCATGTGTTCACTGAAGTAGCACTTTTTAATTTAATTTATTTTAAATTTTACTCTAAGTTCTGGGATACATGTGCAGAAGGTGCAAGTTTGTTACATAGGTATACATGTGCCATGGTGGTTTGCTACACCCTTCAACCTGTCAACTAGGTTTTAAGCCCTGCATGCATTAGGTACTTGTCTTAATGCTCTGCCTCCCATTGTTCCCCACCCCTCAATAGGCCCTGGTGCTTGATGTTCCCCTCCCTGAGTCCATGTGTTCTTATTTAACTCCCACTTATGAGTGAGAACATGTGGTGTTTGGTTTTCTGTTCCTGTCTTAGTTTGCTGAGAATGATGGTTTCCAGTTTCACCCATGTTTCTGCAAAGAACGTGAACTCATTCTTTTTTATGGCTGCATAGTATTCCATGGTGTATATGTACCACATTTTCTTTATCCAATCTATCGTTGATGGGCATTTCAGTTGGTTCCAAGTATTTGCTATTGTAAATAGTAGTATATCTCATTTCCCTCAAGATCTTTCCCTCTGCATTCACAGCTTGGCTAACTGTTTGGCACAAAAGGCCTAGCTTTTGACCCACATTAGCTTTCAATACGCATCCCTCATTAAGCTTAATAGTTTTAGCTTTTGATTTAAAGTAACAGACTTGTGACTCTTCCTTTCACTTGAACACTTACAGGCCATTGTAGGATTATTAGTTGGCCTAACTTCAATATTGTTGTGTCTCAGGGAATAGGACATCCTGAGGACAGGGAGAGAGACAGGAGAACGGCTGGTGGGTGCAGCAATCAGAACATACACAAGGTGGATCGATTAAGTTCACCATCTTATGTGGGCATGCTTCATGGCATTTAAACAATTGCAGTAGTAACATTAAAGGCCACTGATCACAGATCACCTCACCGTAAGAGATATAAAAACAATGAAAACATTTAAAATATTGTGAGAATTATCAAAGTCTGTGCTACAGAGACATGAAATGAGCACATCCTATTGGGAAAACACCACCAACAGACTTGCTTGATCAGGGAGGCCACAAACCTTTATTTTTGAAAAACAAGGTATCCACAAAGCTTCAGAAAATGAATCAAAATAAAACAAGGTGTTCTTACACATGAATTTGATATTGTTTGGATTTTTGAACTATATGAATGTATTACATAGAGTAGGTTCCAATAAGTAAAAAATTGTTAAAATTTGTATTTTAAAATTATATTTAAGATTGTATTTTGGTAAAGAATTCTAAAATAGTAAGTTCAGTTTAAGTGGATGAGAGTATATGTACTGGTAAGTTACAAAAGAAACAAGGTGTAGAACAATTAATTTAGTGTTGTACTTTTGTGAAAGAAAGAAGTGTGTGTATGTGTGTTTGTGTTTGTTTATTTAAGTAAAAACAATACAGGATGAATAACTAGAAACTAATGGTTACAAGTTTTGAAAGAGAATGGATGGAGAGTGTGGAATGGGGAGCAAGACTTCTCTCTGTGTACGTTTTTATATAATTTTGATACGTACATATAACGTGATTGTTTTATATGTTTAAAGAAGTAAAATTACTTAAAAGAGATAAAAAAGAAAATCCTAAAACTGAAAGAAAAAAATGAACTTAACTTTATAGGAAATTCATAGATACACAGTGAAAAGAATTCTTTTAAGAAACCTTTGAATACCATATTCTAAATGTACTTCCTTCTGGGCAAAAAAAACCCCTGCATATTTCTTTCAATATTCTATTATTAGTACCAGTTGTGGTGCTGCAGTCTTGAAACTATTTTTATTTATTAACAATACAAATAAATATTAAACTATTAAAAATCAAGAACTTTAGTGTAAGAAAAATAAGTTCAAATATAAAATAAAATTATTTAAGAAAAACAGTAGTGCTAAATTTGAATTGCAAACATCAATATTAGATCCTAATTTTAAAAAATGTGTATTTATAGCTCTCCACTGAAAGGGTCAAGAAGCAATAATGTCTGAGTAGCAATTAGAATACCAGCCATTTTTGGCTTTCTAAGAACTATTTTTCAGTAAATGAAAAAATTCAGACTCAGAAGAGAAATGGCTGCCCCAGGTCTGGGACAAAGAAAGTACCAAGTAAGCTTCTGACATCTTGTCACAGAAAACAAAGGATCAGAGTATGACAGGGATTGGCTCAAATAACCCAGGAGACAGTTGGAAGGGATCTGCCTAAGTGGGCTTTGGAAATTTTGAACATTAACAAGAACAATCACTGATTTGGATCTTGGATCAAAAAAAAAAAGAACACACTACAAAGACATTCTTGAAGCTTTGGAGAAAATTTGAATATGGATTGAATATTACATTATATTTTAAAATTATAGTTTCTAAATTAGATATAATAATGGTATTGTTGCAGAAGGGCCTTATTCTTAGGACATACCTGCTGAACTCTTTGGAGTGAAATTTCATGATGTCTGTAATTTATTTTTAAATCCTTAAGGCAGTAAAAATCGTGCATTACACACATCAAATATATTATATACAATATATATAATTACATGTGTACACATACACAGAGACAGAGACACTGAAACAGAGGGAGAGGAAACACATGTACATATATAATAAATGTCCAAAGTTTCTGGATAGGCATGGAGGACATACAAGTGTTTATTGTATTATCTTTCAATTTTTTCTGTATAAATAAAACTTTTTGAAAAGTTTATAAAAAATATAAGTATTAAATAATTTCGAAACAATGGAAAAATCTAATGCTTTTTGGTCAAATAGGTAGAAAATGCTCAATAAAGCTCTGCTGACATTAAGATAATCCTTTTTAAATTTACTTATCTCACAGGAAAAAACTGCTAATAGGATTAGATTTTT